AAATTGCAGCTACAAAGACTTCAATTTAGGAGTCATAATTGTATGCATTCTGTTAATATTTCATCACTGGGCTGATTTAACATTTATACTGATAAATGACATTCTTGCCAGGACTACATTGGAACTGAGGACAAAAGATAGAATGAGAAGCAGCAGCTTTGTTACAGTGGGTGACTCCATGGAAATGTGCTTAGATTTATAATCCAATATAATTAGAAGCTTTCATCTCTTGCAGAAAATCCATACTGTTTTTCAGCTCTTGAACACAAGCTACATATGTTATTTTTTAAAAAAATCACTATAATGTATTCAATTTTGGAAAAAAAATGCAGCTCAAATACATGCTTTGGCTAATTTAAAACCAAGTTTCCTATCAACAACTACTGTGTGTGTTTATGGAAACTTGTAACAGGAAAACAATTTATATAAACAGTGGATATCAATTGGGGGAAAATACTGGGTTTCATAATTTTTTTTAAACTTTGGTAACTAATAACTGAAGAAGCTACACAGTACATGCATGCATACACACCTCTATTACTTGCATTTGACCTTCCTTTTATACTTTGCTTTGCAATCTATACTGTGTAGTCAATTAGGCCACAGTTCTGCAAACAAGGGAGCAAATCCACTTAAACATTTACAGATGGGCTTTCAGGTTAACATTCCCTTTTCAGAAAGGGTAATGGAACTGGCACTGGGGGCAGACACTGCATACTTGGGTTATTACATGGTACTCAATGAGGTTCCAATTCTGATGAACCACCTGGACACAATTAAAGTATGAAATAATTAATAAGGAATTCCATTAAGTTGCTTCCCTGTTCTCCTTAATTTATTGCTGAGTTCCCAGCTCAGAAGACATTCATAAGAGAAATGAAAGTCCTAAGGAATTTAACTTTCTGTATTATGTGCAACAAAAAAGCTTTTGCTATTGCACAGTACAATATGAACACTGATCAGATCTTCAATAAATGAAGCCTCAGTATTGGGAAGTAGTGACTATAACTCAGTAACTAGATATATTTAACAAGGACACTGATGGTCAAAATAGTTTAACAGAAGGTGAACGCTAACTGGATTAGAGTGAGTGCGTCTTCTAGTGGTACACCCTCTCAACAGAGGCTCACATACACAAATTTGGGACTGAGTCCAATTACCAAGAGAGTCCATCAGATTTTATATTTATGCACACAAGTGAGTTTTTCTCAGTTCTCACTGCAATTAGTGACTGCTGTCAGATCCACATCTGTAAAAATCAGGGTATTTTTAAGTGTCTGAACAGAAAGACTGGTAACCCAAGTAAAAATTGTGGCTCATGTAACTTACTTTCTAACTGTATAAGCCAGTTTTGAGAGTAAGCTCACTAAATTACTTAAATCTACAACATCCTCATTTATGCAGTCCTTATTTAGTCGTTTGTGTGATTTTCTTACACTTGTGCTTAATGAAATCATTTTAGTGTTTCACTTCTTTTCTTACAACCCTCTGGAGTGTGGCATAGCATCCTGCCTCAGCAGAATTACATCAATGTGCTTAGGAGCAGTATAAATAGGACAAATCATATGTACCTGCCAGGTTCAGTGTAGGTAGCATAAAAACTTTTTGTTACCTTCATAGAATGAAGTAATTTTCATGTCCCTGAACATGAGATCTGTAAGACAAACTTCCTACCTGTAATTAAATATCACCCTGTATCTTCATGGTAGAAAAGGAAACTTCAATCTCTACTTTCTGATTATCATGGTCTAGCAATTAGGATTAATCCTATGCCTGTAAAAGCGGATGGATTATGAGAACAGTTTGAGTCACTACCTGTAGTCCATGGCTTCATGGTCCTGGAATATTTTGACCACTCAGTCTTTGGGAGGGCGAGGGGAAGGTGTTAAGCTCTCAAAATGAATGCTTGCATGTTTTTTACCCGCTTGCTTTTCAAACCTAATTAGCAGGGGCCTAAGTAACAGTATTTCCAAATAACTCCTTGTGATCAGTCTTCTGTTTCCAGAATCTCTGTACAGTTGCATAGTCCCACAAGCTTTCTTTCCCATGCTATATACTGAACATTCTTAGTAGATTTCTGTATGACAGCAAATAATAAATCCTATGTGTAACAAATGCTGTGTCACTGTACTTCATTGGATTTGTGGACTGCTGCCCTTTTTATTTCTGTTCTGTAAACTGCAAAAAAAAAAAATCTTCTGTTTAGTGCACGTTCACTCCTGCTTTTTCTCCTCTAAAAGGCAAACACTACTTTTCTTGTATCATATCATTGGAGAACATGACGGGATGTCTGTGGAGATGAACACTCTTCTCATATAAAAATCTACAGCAAAAAATGGTACCTATGTAACTGCACTACAAAATCAAAAAGTGGTGCTGATTTAGAACATATGGGATGTGGCCCAGGACAGCACCAACACTAATTTGATTAACGATTTTGCCTTGTCATATATCAGTTATTCATCCAAATGCTTCATCCTATGGGAATTCCCTAAAGGGAAAGTGTAGAGTCCTGCATCTGGGCAGGAACAACCCCAGGTTCCAGTATAGGTTTCGACCTGCTAGAGAGCAGTGTAGGGGAGAGGGACCTGGGGGTCCTAGTGGACGACAGGATGACCATGAGCCAACACTGTGCCCTTGTGGCTAAGAAGGCCAATGGCATCCTGGGGTGTATTAGAAGGGCGGTGGTTAGTAGGTCGAGAGAGGTCCTCCTTCCCCTCTACTCTGCCCTGGTGAGACCCCATCTGGAATATTGTGTCCAGTTCTGGGCCCCTCAGTTCAAGAAGGACAGGGAGCTGCTGGAGAGAGTCCAGCGCAGGGCAACCAAGATGATTAAGGGAGTGGAGCATCTCCCTTATGAGGAAAGACTGAGGGAGCTGGGTCTTTATAGTTTAGAGAAGAGGAGACTGAGGGGTGACCTTATAAGTGTCATGGAGCCAGGCTCTACTCAGTGGCAAACAATGATAGGACAAGGGGTCTCTCTAAACTTGAGAAGGAACTTCTTCTCAGTGAGGGTGACGGAGCACTGGAACAGGCTGCCCAGGGAGGTTGTGGAGTCTCCTTCCCTGGAGACATTCAAAGCCCGCCTGGACACATTCCTGTGTAACGTTATCTAGGTGTTCCTGCTCTGGCAGGGGGATTGGACTAGATGATCTTTTGAGGTCCCTTCCAATCTCCAGCATACTGTGATACTGTGATACTGTAATTCTAATCTCAAGATCCTTCTATTCCTGCCTAAATGGGGTTCTCTGCTCTGCTCCCTGGAGTTACTTGATATGCTGACAGACACAGTCCTATTCTTTCTCTCTCTGGCAGCTTCACCTCTTTGTGAAATGCGCTATGGAACTATGTAGAAAAGGAATGCTTTTGAGATTGAAAGCCAAGACTAGCAAAATGTCAGAAACTGTCAAAATAGAGATTACTCCAAGCAGTAACATAAATTTAGCTCATACTCCCAGCTAGCACAGCATCCCTCAAGGTCACTTTTTGGAAGGGAAATTACTGGGGAAAAACAGCCCAGAAAAAACATCTTCTTTGAGGCCAGGCTCCATTTCATTTGCATTCTGACATTAGGTTCATAAAAGAGAAAGCCAAGTGAGATTCAGACTCAAATGGCATTTGCAAAACACACTGCTACCAGAATTGTTCCTTGAGCAGTTTCTTTCGGGGGGGCTCAGCATGTCCCTTAGGATAAAACTTGGGACCAGGCAAGTGTTAGGCTGGGGTGGCTCTTACAAAGGAGGCAGTAGGTCGGTTCCCCTCAGAACTTCCAGAAAGAGTCTTGGTTTTATTTCAAATGTGAACTATTGTCAAATGTAATGACAGCCAGAAATATATTAAGTCTCCTTAATAATAAGTTATTATATATAAGATACACAGAATTTGCACCAGTTATAACAACTGGAGTTAAAATGCTGACAGGAAGCAGATTCTTTGATGTTAACGTTTTGGCTTCCCTCGTTGTCCCACTCTTATCTATCATTGTACTTTGACACCTCTCAAGTAGGTATTTTGAGGTGGACGATGTCCAACTTCATTTATTATAACTGGTGATCAGCGGAAAGGCGTATGCTGGTATCCCAGGAGCCTAAATCCAGTGTTTAAATTTCTCTGTAATTTTTTTTTTTAAATGTAATAATTTTTCCATTAAGTACCATACATTGCTAACAGTATTAGACCGAAGCAAACAAAAATTCACCTGTTAGAGATAATTACACTTTGAAACGCCTTTTTATTCAATTTGGTTTCCTCCCATTATTTTTTCTCCATCTTAATTACAAGAAGTAGATTTAGATTTAACACAAGGAAGAAGTTCTTCCCTGTGAGGGTGCTGAGGCACTGGCACAGGGTACCCAGAGAAGCTGTGGCTGCCCCGTCCCTGGCAGTGTTCAAGGCCAGGTCGGGCAGGGGTTGGTCTAGTGGAAGGTGTCCCGGCCCATAGCAGGGGGTTGGAACTGGATGAGCTTTAAGGTCCCTTTCCACCCAAACCATTCTGTGATGATACTACAAATTGCTTTAATTCAATTAATAAATGTACATATTAGGCATATTCCAAAATATGAATTCAGATATACTAGTGTTACAAATCAAATATAACCACTACTACAAAACAGTTCCTACTCTCTAGCCCAGAGATTTTTCTAGTAATGAAAACACAAATTCATTCATAATGTACATGAATTCAAACTCCACATCAGCTGGATCACCAAGCCTCATCATAAAACTGCCTTACTATTTTATAACTGTATTTTATAATAACTTCTGTTCTTAAGTCCATCATTTCTGTATGCAGTCAGAGCACGTGGCTCCACTGTTACAGGAAACAGCTTCACAGTTTGTTGGTCCTGCCACCACTCTTCAGAACAGTGCAGTCAGATGCCTCATACATCTGTTACTTTCCTTTAATTTGGTGACATTCACAGTCATATTCTACAGAAATTTAGAAGTTCATCATTAGAAATATTTGACTTCCTATCAAAAGTAGCATGCCATTTCCATACCTTTGCAGTGAGGGGCAGCTAACTTGGGTGCATTTGACCAACAGAAGTAGGAAATCGGATGAAAATCCACTTCCTGACTGAAACAGAGTAATTTTTAAATCCGTAATTATTTCTGAGCAAGACAGACAAGTTGTTATTTAAATGCAGTCACTTTCTTCTATTTTAAACTGCTCTAAAAAAGAAAAACTTTTTACTACAATCTGTATTCTCATAAAAATCATGAGTTTCAGTAGACAAGCATGAGTCTAGATTCACATACTGGTTGAAGAGCAGAACTGTAAATCAGTGCTCTTTTCCAGTACTATTAATGACTTTGCACTCCAGTCCTTCTTTACCATGCAAAAGAAGTACTGTTTCCTCTTAAAAGAGGCTCCAACATTTTAAGTATTTCACTGTGCTTTTTCCTTGCTTTCACATTTTTTTACTATGTAACTTGTATATTCAGGGTATCACAGAAAATAACCTGGAATATTCTTCCTCAGAAACATCTGCAGAATTAGCTGTCCATGAAAACGTTCCCTCAAGATTTTCTCCTGTGCAAAAGTAGACACATTACCATCACTTTATAACTCCTACCTATACTGCCTGATATGCTTCCAAATCCTTGTCCTTCAAATCCTTTTTATCACCTAAAAATACCACAGAATCCATACTTGTACAGCGGTAATCTCTAAAACAACCATCAGATTATGGCAGACTGTAAGGGAGGTACTTACAAGGTAGGCGCATTTCCAGAACATACCAGGTGCGGCCATTTCTCGTACACGGCAGGGCATAGTGGAGCAGTACTCAGGCGTCGAGGGAACACAACTGGCTTTAGTGCTTCCTCACTTCCCACCGAGCCTGCAGTTACCTTCTTGGCAGTAAATTGTGGGCGCTTCATGAGGTAATCCAGGGCTTTTGTCTGCCATCTCCTCACGCCTCAAACCGAGGTGAGCTTGGCTCAGCTACCGCAAGCCCCCGGTAAGGAGCAACCGTGGTTCCTCCTGAGGGCTGAGGGAAAGAGCCCGGTCCCCGCAGGTGCTCGACTGCTGGTTCTACCGAGGCTAAACTCGCGCCGCATGCCCTGACACCCATCTTACGGCAGCGTGCTCCAGGTCTGCCAGGAAGACGAGAAGCGCGGGCCGGGGCGGGCTTTCCCTGCGCTGCCCGTCGCCGCCAGGGCTCCCGCCGCGCTTTTGGGAGATGGATGTGGGGATTTCGTTTTAGCGCCTTACAGGCTTTTAAAACGAGGGGAAACACGATTACAGCTTAAGTTGGGCATCGACTGGCAGGGAGGCTTTGTGGAAACCGGGTCTCACGCCAGCAGCAGGCGCCTCAGGGGTAAGAGGCCTGGCGCGGCCTCCACGCTACCTCAGGTTTCGGCAGAGAGCTTTAGCGTCCCCAGCTGCCCCACACGAGCCTCGCTGAACTACGGCCTGCCGAGATAGAGTGAAAGACAAACGTACATGTAAAGAGCTAGTGCCCAGTCCTGTAACATGGCGGGGCTGGAGGCCCGGGGGAGGCTTCCGAAAGTATTGTCATCTAAAGGGTGCACAGTGCAAACAGTCCCAAGTGCTTTTAGGAATGTTTTTCTGAAATCACTTATTCATTATGCTGCTCTCCCTGTTAGTTCTTACACAGGAAGCCCTCTCAGATACAGATTCTTTAAAGCTATTTTGGTATCTGATTGCCATCTTTAGTTCAGTGGTAGTGGTAACCTATATACATCTTGTAGAATTTTGAGGTTTAATCAAATCTTTTAATAGATCTGTGTGCCTTAAACATTTCACCTCTTTAAGTGGCAGGTAATATTTGTTATCTTTCTTTTCCCAAGCTTTTCAGGAGGTAGAACCTGAGATTTCACTGCAAAGCCACGAAACCCTTGGAAAAAATGGCAGAAACCAGTGGGCAGGAACAGTCAAGATGGAGAACAACAGTTATTATGAGTACAGCTCTCCAGGTACAGTGCTGCTTCTCAAGAGCAGCATCTGATTCACAAAGAAGTGCTGAAAGAAGCGTTTTCTGTATTCTAGATGTGAAAATCTTGTATGCAACGTGAATCAGTCTAGTTTTTTGAGGATAAAGCAGTGATATTAGCCTGACGTTGCTTCTACTGTAGTGCTGGTTCTTTTCTCTGTGTGTGTTGATTTTTCTCATCGCTACTTTAGGATTGTCTCCCTGACTCATCATTTCTGCACTGCACTGATGCTGCTTTCAGTTAGCACTGTAGATAGTTCCTATCAGGAATGTTTTTATTTCTCTGAATTTCTCCCTAGACATTTTATTTTCTACTACACACTATCAACATTGAGGTAAACTATTAAGAAGTGTGCAGTTCAGTTTAAAATAGAGTTACAGCTAGTGATGTGTATTTGTATCTGCTAACATCAGAAGCCAAGACTGTGTTCCCCAGTAAAGTGAAAGGGTATGTCAAGGAGCTAGTAATTAGTTTCTGCTGCTAAGGCCAATTTCATGTCAGCTGGCTGGAATTTAGAGGCATGAGGGCTTTAATTCACCAGGAAGGATACCTTCTGGTTGGTTGACAAGGTTATCATCTCATCTCTGCTGTATAAATGAGTGAATGGTGCTGAAGTAATTCCTGAATCTCCTCAGTTTAAAGCCTGTCCTTATTTGCCTGCTTGTCTCAGAATGGCAGCCTGTAAACTATTCCAGAGTGGGAACTGCTTCAAGAGCAGCTTAATCCATAATACAGTGACAGGTATTGGAGGGCAGTGATCTCATCAGATATACCAGCATAACTCATTCCTGAGAGCCCCAGCTCTAGTCGAAACTACAGCTGTCAGTAAGGTCTCCCTGTGAGCAAAGATGTGGAAACAGCTGCATGTGGGGGCTGGAATGTATCAAAGCTAGCAATTAAGAGCGACCATGGGAAGGAGGAACTATAGTAGGCAATTAAGAGTGACCTGTCCCTGACTGGTACTTGGAAGATGTTGGAACTGGCAAGGAACAAGGACAGCGGAACTGGAAAGAGGATGTCAATAAGAAAATCAGATGGACCTTTCACCTGATGTAACCGCAAGGCAAACACAGATGTGCTTGGCTAATTGCTTGGAAGCATATAAATATCGTGTCATCTTTTCAATAAACGATCCAGCTTGCACTCTACCTCTGGGTCCGTGCCTCCATCCTCACAGCTGAATACAAATCTAAGATGGCTTTTTGTTTACAAAGTAGTGCTTTCTACCAGTTTTGGTTATGAGCTTTCTCTTTTCCCTGTGCAGCTATACTTCTCTTATAGCTGTTACTTGTGCATTATTCACTGTCAACAGTGGCTTAGAAGCAGAGAGTTTTTCCAAAATTGTAATTATAGCTCATAAGCAGCTGTCATTGTGTGTTCCCTTCCCAGACCAATTGAAAGCACAACATTTCTGGTTACTGTCTCCTTTGGTTCACCTGCTATCCTGACTTTATTTTGTACTCTACCACTAAACCATGACACTTCCCTACATAGGCAGGTTGCCTGTGTTTTAACTGGGTAGGTTAAAGAACATGCTATTAGCTAAAAAAGGATTAAATGATTTAACCTTTCAAATGTGTTTGAGCAGCTTCTCTAGAACATACTGCAGAAATGGTTTCTGCAGGCTGTAAAATATATTCAAGCCCACTCCATTCTGTAGATGATTATGTCACATAGTGCAATGTTTCAGTTTGCCTATCAAAAGGCTTTAAAGAAAATCATGTCCCATACAGATTTGCTGAACTATCTTCCAAATGAAATGCTGACATCTGTGGAAATAATGCAGGCTAATTAACTGAAGTCATGGAAACACACTACTGCATGTTCTTCACTGCTGCAAATCCTCCTTTAGCACATCTCACAAAAATAGACTGTAAAATGTTTCAGCTTCTTTATGTATTATGCGAGAGTTTCCTGAGGCAAACCGAATGTGTGCATCCAAAATTGCCTTTCAGTGTTTGATAACCTCCAATGCAAATAATTCAGAATTTCATTAACTGAACCAGTTTAATTAACATTTTACTGCCCTTTTATTGCTAGTGGAATGAAAAATATTTTTTAAACCACAGTGCTCAAGTTCTATCTCTAATGGTTCAGACAGGGCTTTAAGAATATTTCTACCAAGCTTGTTGGCTGAAAACGTATTTTAAAAACAACCTTTTGAAATCTATTTAGAATCATGAAATTTCTACAGTTCTACAGAGGCAACAGCACCGCATTCGATACTCAGATTCCGTGGAACCTGGATCTGTGATTTTTTCTCTTTCTGGTACAGTACTTCGAGTTTATGCTTTTAAACTCATTAACTCCAATGACATGCAAGATCAGGCACTGCTGTAGGCTACACCGAACTGAATAAAAACTGCCTTATTGGAATGTCGTGCCAGTAGTGGAAGGAGCTGTGATATGATTAGATGTAAATCACGGGAGGGGGCAGAGAACTTTGGGGATGAAACATTTTGTACTTTTTTTGGACATTTTGTAGAACATTACATCACTTCATTGGATTTGGTGATCATCGGCTGAGCTGTTCAGTACATTCTTGTTATAATTGAGCAAGCACATTGAGTGCCACTAACATATAAGATAGCTGTCAGGATCTTTCGTATTCCTGCCTGTAAACACAAGAGTGAATCAAGATACTAAGCTTTCATCCTCCAAGTTGAGTCTGCAAACCTGGTGGTAGCAGTGGAGTTAGGGAAAAGATACTTTGAGCAGTTTTGATTAGGAAATTGCTGAAATTGCAAACATGAAATACCTAGCCTTCCCTTTTAGAGCAGAAGATGCTTTAAACAGGTAGACAAGATCCTTTATCCTCCTGAATTATAAGGACTAAGAAGGCACACATTGGCTTAGACTTCTGTAGCCTCAATTGTTAAGCCTCCTAAACTTCAGCCTTTTTAATTTTTCATTTCAGAATAATTTACTTGACAGGGTTATAGTTTATTTTTTCATGATAGACAGTTTAGGTGACTTTCAAGATGTTTATCTCATTTAGAAATAGGACTTGCTGAGCTACTCAATCAGTCTTTGCATTTGCCCTAAATTCATTCTATTGTGGCAGTTACTTTCAAAGGCATTCAGAGTTTGTACTTCGAATGTATTGAACAGTTGGGGATTCTTTGATGTTTTGGTAGGAAATAACCTCTGAATTAC